GTGATTCCCGAGTTAATAGTTTACACGCTAAAATTTTCACGAGGCGTAGGTGATACTAAAGAGCGCGGGAGCGTTGAATTTGAATAGACAAAGTTGAGCGTAGGCAGGAGGTCATTACCCTAAAATTTCAGTCTCCTAGACTCCATGGTTCCAGAGATATTAACTTACCTGTGATTTACCCGTAAAAAATTTTCACAGAGCTCTACGTGTTACCCGCGGGTAAGGGAAGGCTGAATTTGAATAAGCAAGGCTGAGCGTGGGCAGGAGGTCATTACCCTAAAATTTCAGCCTCCTAGATTCCGTGGTTCCTGAGATATTAATTTACCCGTAAAAAACTTCCCCGGAGCCGTACGCGTTACTCGCGGGTAAGGGAAGGCTGAATTTAAATTTGCCGCGTCACCCGTGGGCAGGGAACACTATACCAAAATTTCAGCCGCCTAGCTTTTGTGGTTCCCGAACTGAAAGTGCGGGACAAAATGTAGGGCACACCTTCAAACACACACACACACAGACAACCCCGTGACAATATGCGTTTTGTAACGCTGTTACACAGCACAAAACACATAAAAAGGTCCAGATTGTTGTGATGCATATTTTAATCGGTGCCTTAAGATGTTAGGGGTGCTACATAAGGTCGAATAATGAAACTTACATTCTTATTTGTCGAACGGCACCAAATTTCCCAAAAATATCGTACATTTCTTCACTTGTAATTTTATAAGGCAAATTTTTGACGTACAAAATTCTGTTCACTTCCGGCGGCAGCTTTTGATTTCGTCCTCGATTCGCAAGAGCCATCGCTTTTCCTGGAAAAAAAGCACTGCACTAAACCAGACATGCGAACATTAGAATAGCGAGCGAATCGCGAAATTTAATTGAAAATAAGAAATTAAAAATTAAAATATCTAAAATGGCTGTAAAATCATCATTTTCTGCAAGGTACTGACTCAATACATCTGTACAGCGAGCAAAAGATGACGCGCAGGAGAAGCGAAGGAGAATCCAGAACCGCGCAGCAGAATGAACTGTGATCTGTCCCGCCCGTTGTGATGAGTATTTAAGTCTGTAAATTTGTTGTAGAGTTCAGTGTGTTCCGTGTTCATCGTCCAGTGTTCAGTATTCATCGTTCAAGGTCCCGCGCCTCGTGTTTGTCGTCCAGTGTTCAGTTGCAGCTGTGTGTTGCTGCACTCCAGTGATCAGCTTTCTTCGTCTGCAGCGGCTATCGCTGCAGTCGTCCGACTTGATCCCGTCACCCCAAGTACTCAACTGTAAACATGTATTGGTGTTGATAAAGTTCGTTTGGTTTACGCCAGTCTCATCACTAAGCACATACAGCACATCGGCGTTCATCCAAGATTCGACCGAAGCTCGTCGTACTCCCGTCCGAATAATCTGCGGAAAATTCGTCGTCGTATCGTCGTAACACATCATGAAATTGCCAAAGCCTTGCCAAGAGTATGCATTGAGAGAACTATCGATTTGTTAATCCCTACATCAGTGAGGTAGCACTGTTATCGAGCTGTAGTCCAAGGTTCGACTCTGCCCGGTGGGACAACCAATTCCTCTACGATTCATTTCGATGGTAAATTGGTACTGGCATATGCCGAGGGAATCAAACCTGCCGTCAGCTTGCTTGTAAGCAAACCTCAGAAGAGCGAGCCATCGACAGCCTTGCCAGCGACTGGTTGCTATTGGCATCTGCTATCGCTTGAGGTATTTCCCGAGTGTCATCGCCCTACCTGAGAGCGAAATACGGAGGGGGAGGGGGGAGAGGTCCGATTTTCGTTTTTTTTTTTTGACGTTTTAACATCAGGATTGCCAGCAGGCTGACCATCAAGCGATGCAGTACATTGGCCAAAGCAACTGGAAGAGTTATCTGCGACACAGTTAGGGAACCGAACTATGAAA